AAAATGTACGTCACGTGACAATAGACCAATAGCTGATCACGATTTGGTGTAACGTAGTACGATCAGGAAGGTCCAAAACAATGTTTTTTTTTCAAAAGCCTTTTGCACTCTAACAAAAAAAATTCCTTGTAGTTTTACTCCTAAGTTCTATACTATTAAAGCCCTAATACGAAAACAAACGAATTTTGGAGATTTTCCGATTCGTACGTGATGGATCGACATAAAATTGATGAATCTACTCGCTCTATATTGTTATGAATAATCCATTTGAATCATTTTGTTGGGACAAATTGAATGGCATAAGAATCATTAGATCCTATTTTATAGATTTCGTGTTAACTTTGATATTACTTTATAAAAACCTAAAATTTTATTAAATAAATTAATATATATATATATATATGTATATATTCAAGTTTAATATAAATTAACTTTTTATTAATTAATAATATTTTTATTTTTATGTCTTAAGAGAACCAAGTTTAACATATGTTTGGAATTTTTATTATATAAAACCTGGTAATTGAGTTTTTAATTTGAGACCTAAAATTTTTCGAACCTAAATCAACCCTAAGCTAACTTTACCATCCCTGCCTAGCCATTCCCAAGTATAAGTATTAAGTCCTTCGTGTTCCAGACGACGAGTTCGGACCATAGGATTTTTTTGAATGCATTTTTCAACACGTTTCCATAGCTCAATACGCTTAAAATCATTTTTGATATGAGGCATGACCGGTTCTCGCCATTCGTTTGAGATCATACTTCGTTCTTGCCTCATTGTATTTAGAACAATGTCGGCAGCTTTGTTTACTTGTTCGTTTTCCCATATCCTTTCTTTAATTTTGTAGCCTATGCCTAACAGAGCAATACAAGTCAAGATTGTTCCTGAAAATAATAATAATGATAACAATGAGTTAGGAATCAAATAAAATAACAATCATATAAATAAATTAAAATATACGAACCAATAACGAACATTAAGTTCCTCTCCATCCAGGCTATACCAAAAAGTTTAAATTTACAAAGAAGATTGTGTTTTGGCTTCTTCGAGATAACATAGGATTTGAGTTGATTGTAACTCCTAAAAAT